ATCTTCATCAACAAACTCAGTTCTTTTTATTTTATATTAAATCCTTTTATTTATTTGTGGGTTTTATGATTAATTGGGCTTTGACTATTTGATGGACCTTATCGATGTCATCAAGCTAGGATTTTCTGTTTCTTCTTGGTATTTAAGTTCACATGTGATGTATATGGAACATTGTTTGTGTTCTCATGTATATTGTTTGTGTTCACAAAAGCTATTAGTTCTTTTAATAGTGCAGTAAGTATCATCATTTCTCTTCGCATAATAATTTCTTTGATTCAATACTTATTATAGTTTGAACAATACATTTTTTTGCTTCTCTTAAGGATTTGGATGGAAGATAGGTAAGAGTCTCAGAGGCTGAGCCTAGGCCACCAAGGCGCCAATTTGGAGTGTCCACACTTGGCGTTCTAAATTTCTTTTTCATTCTAGAGGGTACGATAAGGCTCTTATCGCCATGTTCTAGCATTTGAATGTGGATAAATATTCATGCTAATTTTTAATGATTTTTTATTTTTTTGGTTGGTTATATGTTTCAGATTCAAGATACCATACCGTGGACACTAAGCTTTGGAGCCGCCAACCCGAAATCAAGGCAAACCTTAAGGAACAAAAAGATTGATCGAGAACAAGCAAACCACATATAATAGGACCAACCTTTCAATATCAAATGGAACAAATTTTCTATGCCACTCAATATCATGTTTTTTTGTCTAGCTTCATCAATAAGCAGAGCAGAATTCTTGTTTCTTTAAAACACTTGGAAGTAAAACAATGCAAACTCGAGTTTTGACGATGTATCTCAATCGCTTCCAAAGATACGTTAGTTTTGACTTGATATTCGTGAGTTTTTTGATGATTTTTGGATGAGTACGGTTGGTCACATTGTATTCTCAACATGATCGGACAGACCTATTATAAGCATAGGATTGCTACCGTTTTTAGTACCTTGATTTTCATTTCTTCCACAACTGTTTTTGATTTAGATTATACTTATAGTAAAGCAAATATAGAGGGCCATAAGGTTCATATGTAAATTGAATATAAAGATATGGTTTTTTTTTTTTTTTTAAATCAAAGATATGGTTTTTGTTTCACCATTTGAGGTTAATTCCTCAAACCGATTATATATGCAAGCAATGTGATTTCTCTGGAGATTATTGGTTGATTTCCAGGCGTAATTGAGCTGGTTAACGAAATCTGTCAATGCTGAAATCGGTTCAAGGTGAAATCGATTGGGTAGTGGTAAGTAGACCTGTGGTTCGGTTATGTTGTGTTCTTTAAAGGATCAATCAAAATGGGCAAATTCTGAT